GTGTATATACACAGACACACCTTTCAGTTTATATACATAGACACACCTCTCAGTGTATATACTCAGACACACCTCTCAATGTATATACACAGACGCACCTTTCAGTGTATATACACAGACACACCTTTCAGTGTATATACACAGACACACCTCACAGTGTATATACACAGACACACCTTTCAGTGTATATACACAGACACACCTTTCAGTGTATATACACAGACACACCTCTCAGTGTATATACACAGACACACCTGTCAGTGTATATACACAGACACACCTCTCAGTGTATATGCACAGACACGCCTCTCAGTGTATATACACAGACACACCTCTCAGTGTATATACTCAGACACACCTCTCAGTGTATATACTCAGACACACCTCTCAGTGTATATACACAGACACACCTTTCAGTGTATATACACAGACACCTCTCAGCGTATATACACAGACACACCTTTCAGTGTATATACACAGACACACCTCTTAGTGTATATACACAGACACACCTTTCAGTGTATATACATAGACACATCTCTCAGTGTATATACTCAGACACACCTCTCAGTGTATATACACACACTCACCTCTCAGTTTATATATACAGACACACCTCTCAGTGTATATACACAGACACACCTCTCAGTGTATATACACAGACTCACCTCTCAGTTTATATACACAACGACACCTCTAAGTGTATATACACAGACACACCTCTCAGTGTATATACACAGACACACCTTTCAGTGTATATACACAGACACACCTTTCAGTGTATATACACAGACACACCTCTCAGTGTATATACACAGACACACCTTTCAGTGTATATACACAGACACACATTTCAGTGTATGTACACAGACACACCTCTCAGTGTATATACACAGACACACCTTTCAGTGTATATACACAGACACACCTCTCAGTGTATATACACAGACACACCTTTCAGTGTATATACATAGACACACCTCTCAGTGTATATACTCAGACACACCTCTCAGTGTATATACTCAGACACACCTCTCAGTGTATATACACAGACACACCTTTCAGTGTATATACACAGACACCTCTCAGCGTATATACACAGACACACCTTTCAGTGTATATACACAGACACACCTCTTAGTGTATATACACAGACACACCTTTCAGTGTATATACATAGACACATCTCTCAGTGTATATACTCAGACACACCTCTCAGTGTATATACACTGACACACCTTTCAGTGTATATACACAGACACACTTTTTAATGTATATACACAGACACACCTCTCAATGTATATACACAGGCACACCTTTCAGTGTATATACTCAGACACACCTCTCAGTGTATATACACAGACACACCTTTCAGTGTATATACACAGACACACCTCTCAGTGTATATGCACAGATACACCTCTCAGCGTATATACACAGACACCCTCTCAGTGTATATACGCAGACACACCTCTCAGTGTATATACACACTCACCTCTCAGTTTATATACACAGACACACCTGTCAGTGTATATACACAGACTCACCTCTCAGTTTATATACACAAAGACACCTCTAAGTGTATATACACAGACACACCTCTTAGTGTATATACACAGGCACACCTCTCAGTGTATATACACACTCACCTCTCAGTGTATATACACAGGCACACCTCTCAGTGTATATATACAGACTCACTTCTCAGTGTATATACAGACACACTTCTCACTGTATATACACATACTCACGTCTCAGTGTATATACAGTTATACATCTCTCAGTGTATATACACAGACACACCTCTTAATGTATATATACAGACACACCTCTCAGTGTATATGCACAGACATACACACCTCTCAGTGCGTATACACAGACACACACATTGAAGCCAAACTACAAGTAAGAGGACTACTACAGCTTGAAGAACTTCCTGACCGATGTTCAGTGAGACTGAGAGCTGACAGGGAAGTCAGTGGACGAGATGATGGATTATGTAAGAAGACACACATCTGACTGGCTGACTGACTAACTGACTGACTGAAGACTGCCTGATGTTCCTTCGCCTCGCCCAGTCCTGCGCCCGAGCCCAGGCCCGACTGGCTCGACCCTCAGAGCCAATCCTTATCCCGAAGTTACGGATCTAACAAAACACAAGGAGGCTGAGGTGAGGTTTGTACCCAAGGGTAACAGGAATAATGAAAAAGCCAGGATGAGCCCATGGTTCACCCAAAGGTGCAGGGAGGTAAAAACCAAGTGTGCTAGGGAATGGAAGAAGTAAAAAAGGCACAGGACCCAGGAGAATGAGACAAGTCATAGAGCCAGAAATGAATATGCACAGTTAAGACGGGAGACCCAAAGGTAATATGAGAATGACATAACAACGAAAGCCAAATCTGTTGTACAGCCACATCAGGAGGAAAACAACAGTCAAGGACCAGGTAATCAGGCTGTGGAAGGAAGGAGGAGAGGTCACAAAAAACTACTTCAAAGCATGCAAAGAGCTCAACATGAGATTCAAAGATGTGTTCACAGAGGAGACAGAAGGGCCTTCAGAGAGGTGGAGTACACCATCAAGTGTTGGACACAATACATACAACAGTGCAAGAAGTGAAGAGGGTGTTGAGCGACCTACATACCTCAAAGGCGATATGGCCGGTTAACATCTCCCCATGGGTCCTGAGAGAGGGAGCAGAGGCGCTCTGTGTACCACTAACAACAATCTCCAACACATCTATCGAAACAGGACGACTATTGTAAGTATGGAAGACAGCAAATGTAGTCCCAATTTTTAAAACAAGGAAACAGACATGAAGCATTAAACTACATACCAGTGCCACTGACATGTATAGCATGCAAGGTCATGGGGAAAATTATCAGAAAAAGAGTGGTGGAACGCCTAGAAAGGAATGAGCTTATCAACGACAGCCAGCATGGTTTCAGGAACGGGAAATCCTGTGACACGAACCTACTGGAGTTCTATGGCAGGGTGACAGCTGTAAGACAAGAGGGAGAGGGCTGGATAGATTGCATTTTCTTGGACTGTAAGAAGGCGTTTGACACAGATCCACACAAGAGATAGGGGGGGGATATGATAATGAGGTATAGACAAGGTGGACACAGACAGTACCTAGTACCTGCTGGCTGGTACCTTCTGACTGGTACCTGCTGTCAGGTAACCCTCCTTCAAGGAGGGAAGGGTACCTGCTGGTTTGTACCTGCTGGCTGGTACCTACTGGTTGGTACCTGCTGACTGGTACCTTCTGAATAGTATCTGCTGGCAGGTAACCCTCCTTCATGGAGAGAAGGGTACCTATTGGCAGGTACCTGCTCACTGGTACCTGCAAACTGGTACTTTCTGACTGATACCTTCTGTCTAGTACCTGCCAGCAGGTACCAGTCAGAAGGTACCAGTCAGCAGGTACCAGCTAGCAGGTACCCTTCCCTCCTTGATGGAGGGTTACCTGCCAGCAGGTACCAGCCAGGAGGTACCAGCCAGTAGATACCAGCCAGCAGGTACCAGCCAGCAGGTACCAGTCAGCAGGTACCAGCCAGCAGGTACCAGTCAGCAGGTGCCAGCCAGCAGGTACCAGCCAGCAGGTACCAGTCAGCAGGTACCAGCCAGCAGGTACTAGCCAGCAGGTACCAGTCAGCAGGTACCAGTCAACAGGTACCAGTCAGCAGGTACAAGTCTGTAGGTACCAGTCAGCAAGTACCAGTCAGCAGGTACCAGTCATCACTGACAAACAATGAACACAACAACGCTGTCTCACACACGATACAATGATAATGTATTAGTAACCGGGATCCTCTTGTACTGTCTGAGCCGCCTAAGGTCGTAACCACATCTATACTCCCTTTGTGTATACATATGAACCCCCTGTGTATACATATACACCCCTGTGTATACATATACACCCCTGTGTATACATATACACCCCTGTGTATACATATACACCCCTGTGTATACATATATACGCCCTATGTGTATACAATACTTAGTCAATTATATCATATCCATCATTTCGATCCCGTGGGCAGTGATAGACTTGTGTTGCAATAAATAATGTATTTTGTGATGTGTAATACGTTATTATTATTATTATTATTATTATTATTATTATTATTATTATTATTATTATTATATCTTCACATGGTGCTGACCGGAGAAATTTAAAAACCAGTGTGAGTTAAATTCCCTCAAGGTTTTAATGCGCTGTTATTTACGCTTTCTTGTGCTTTCTCAAGCTAAATCCCAAGCTAAATCGGTATTTGTAGTTTAGCTTCCGGAGAGGATATGTAGGTTTATTATCAGGGTTCTGATTGACCTCCGACTACTGGGAGTCCATCTCTCCCTCAGAGTACAAGGACTGTACCTCTCACTTCCAGGTCTCGAGTCTGGCTAACCGGTTTTAATAACTGGTGAAAGTTGCCGTGGTTATATTCCAACAGCACGTTCACACTAGCATGCTTACACCAGCCTGCTGGATGTTCAAGCCAATAAAACCCAAGTGCCTTCTACACCCTTCCTCCAGTCACACACACACACTCACACAGGCAAGAGGCGGGGCCAGGAGCTGTGAATCGACCCCTGCAACTACAAATAGATATGTTCACACAACAGCTTCCTGGTTTTAATAAATTTAATAAACATTACAAGGGCTACAATGGAAGTAACTTTAATATTATTATTATATATTGTAGATGATTTACACATATATATATGTAAGAGAAGTGTAAGCTTACCAAGATTGTGACAATTGTTCAGTAAATATGTGTTATCCTGGTGGGAGAGGGAGGGAGGGAGGGAGGAGAAGAGTGGGAGTGATGGTGGGAGAGGGAAGGAGGGAGGGAGGAGAGAGGGAAGGAATGATGGTGGGAGAGGGAAGGAGGGAGTGAGAAGGAGAGAGGGAGAAGGAGAGAGGGAGAAGGAGAGAGGGAGGGAGAGGGAAGGAGGGAGGTAGAGGGAAGGGAGAGTATAAGGTTGTGTGCACCAGCCACAGTAGAGACACCACCACCACCAGCCACAGTAGAGACACCAGCAGCAGCAGCCACAGAAGAGACACCACCGCCAACAGCCACAGTAGAGACACCAGCAGCAGCAGCCACAGTAGAGACACCACCACCAGCAGCCACAGTAGAGACACCACCACCAGCAGCAGCAGCCACAGTAGAGACACCAGCAGCAGCAGCCACAGTAGAGACACCACCCCCAGCAGCAGCAGCCACAGTAGAGACACAACCAGCAGCAGCCACACTAGAGACACCAGCAGCAGCAGCAGCAGCAGCAGCAGCAGCCACACTAGAGACACCAGCAGCAGTAGCCACAGTAGACACACCACCAGCAGCAGCAACAGCCACACTAGAGACACCAGCAGCAGCAGCCACACTAGAGACACCGACAGCAGCAGCAGCACCAGCACCAGCAGCACCAGCACCAGCCACACTAGAGACACCAGCAGCAGCAGCAGCAGCAGCAGCAGCAGCAGCAGCAGCAGTGTTGATCTCCTTCTCTCAGGTATTTATTACTTTCTTCTGTATATTTTACAGGTAAGAAGAAGAGCGGTAACTCAGTGCAAGACCTTCCTAACTTAACCTTAAGATCAACTTAAATATATAAGTTTATTATGGCTAACACCAGCATCAGCAAACAATTGTCATCTTATCGCCTATAGGTAAACAAGTAGCTTTGTTTAGATATGTGTGCATATAAGTACACATTGATTTGTCAGTTAAAAATAGAAGAGGAGAGTTATTAAATGGAGAGTTAAAGGTATTGGGAAGATGGAGGGAATATTTTGAGGAATTGTTAAATGTTGATGAAGATAGGGAAGCTGTGATTTCGTGTATAGGGCAAGGAGGAATAACATCTTGTAGGAGTGAGGAAGTGCCAGTTGTGAGTGTGGGGGAAGTTCGTGAGGCAGTAGGTAAAATGAAAGAGGGTAAGGCAGCCGGGATTGATGGGATAAAGATAGAAATGTTAAAAGTAGGTGGGGATATGGTTTTGGAGTGGTTGGTGCTATTACTTAATAAATGTATGGAAGAGGGTAAGGTACCTAGGGATTGGCAGAGAGCATGCATAGTTCATTTGTATATAGGCAAAGGGGACAAAAGAGAGTGCAAAAATTATAGGGGGATAAGTCTGTTGAGTATACCTGGTAAAGTGTATGGTAGAGCTATTATTGAACGAATTAAGAGTAAGACGGAGAATAGGATAGCAGATGAACAAGGAGGCTTTAGGAAAGGTAGGGAGTGTGTAGACCAAGTGTTTACAGTGAAACATATAAGTGAACAGTATTTAGATAAGGCTAAAGAGGTTTTTGTGGCATTTATGGATTTGGAAAAGGCATTTGACAGGGTGGATAGGGGGGCAATGTGGCAGATGTTGCAGGTGTATGGTATAGGAGGTAGGTTACTGAAAACAGTGAAGAGTTTTTACGAGAATAGTGAGGTTCAAATTAGAGTTTGTAGGAAAGAGGGAGATTATTTCCCAGTAAAAGTAGGCCTTAGACAAGGATGTGTGATGTCACCGTGGTTGTTTAATATATTTATAGATGGGGTTGTAAGAGAAGTAAATGCGAGGGTCTTGGCAAGAGGCGTGGAGTTAAAAGATAAAGAATCATACATAAAGTGGGAGTTGTCACAGCTGCTCTTTGCTGATGACACTGTGCTCTTGGGAGATTCTGAAGAGAAGCTGCAGAGATTGGTGGATGAATTTGGTAGGGTGTGCAAAAGAAGAAAATTAAAGGTGAATACAGGAAAGAGTAAGGTTATGAGGATAACAAAAAGATTAGGTGATGAAAGATTGAATATCAGATTGGAGGGAGAGAGTATGGAGGAGGTGAACGTATTCAGTATTTGGGAGTGGACGTGTCAGCGGATGGGTCTATGAAAGATGAGGTGAATCATAGAATTGATGAGGGAAAAAGAGTGAGTGGTGCACTTAGGAGTCTGTGGAGACAAAGAACTTTGTCCTTGGAGGCAAAGAGGGGAATGTATGAGAGTATAGTTTTACCAACGCTCTTATATGGGTGTGAAGCATGGGTGATGAATGTTGCAGCGAGGAGAAGGCTGGAGGCAGTGGAGATGTCATGTCTGAGGGCAATGTGTGGTGTGAATATAATGCAGAGAATTCGTAGTTTGGAAGTTAGGGGGAGGTGCGGGATTACCAAAACTGTTGTCCAGAGGGCTGAGGAAGGGTTGTTGAGGTGGTTCGGACATGTAGAGAGAATGGAGCGAAACAGAATGACTTCAAGAGTGTATCAGTCTGTAGTGGAAGGAAGGCGGGGTAGGGGTCGGCCTAGGAAGGGTTGGAGGGAGGGGGTAAAGGAGGTTTTGTGTGCGAGGGGCTTGGACTTCCAGCAGGCATGCGTGAGCGTGTTTGATAGGAGTGAATGGAGACAAATGGTTTTTAACACTTGACTTGCTGTTGGAGTGTGAGCAAAGTAACATTTATGAAGGGATTCAGGGAAATCGGCAGGCCGGACTTGAGTCCTGGAGATGGGAAGTACAGTGCCTGCACTCTGAAGGAGGGGTGTTAATGTTGCAGTTTAAAAACTGTAGTGTAAAGCACCCTTCTGGCAAGACAGTGATGGAGTGAATGATGGTGAAACTTTTTCTTTTTCGGGCCACCCTGACTTGGTGGGAATCGGCCAGTGTGATAATAAAAAAAAAAAAAAAAAATAAATAAATAAATAAACAACACGAATAACTGATGCTATTAATAGTCATAGTGGATGGACTGCATGGGTTATGTTATCCTGACTGAAGGTTGAGGGGAAGTGGGGTACACATACATATGTATCAGGGGAAAATATATTTGCATATAATGTCAACGCTTACCAGATTGTCTCTGGTGGTCATTTGATGCAGCTGGATCACCCACAACAACACCTATCATATTATGAAAAACTAAATTGGCCAGCTAGCTTAACATAAGAAGGGTTACTTAGCTGTGGTTGATGACTGTATTTACTCCATTCACCATCTGATTTCCAAGTCCTGCCAAATATGCGCCTTTACATATTCTGCAGGACGAGATTTCCGGTTGATTTCGTTCCAGTTACGGAGGTGAAGCTCCATTAAAACCTCCGTAGACACAGGAATGGGATGCCGGGTCAACATGCGCTCACACTGGGATATGGCGAACTCTTATTATTTTAATTATCCCCTTGACTCAGTGTTATTGTCACTGTTTTCTTAGCAGATCGCAGTCTGGTATCTTACTACATTAATTTTCTCTTATATGAGGGTGATTCACTAGAATGTGTCCTCGATGACGCTTGATAATATCGGCAGATTATTTCTCTTGCATGCACAATGTCACTCGTTAGCTTTCAAAGAGGGAGTAGATTACAATCTTGGCTTGTCAGGTAGTAGTTTGAGAACAATAATACGAAAAGAACTTCAGCTGAATTTTATTGTCACCAGTGAGTCCATCTATCATCATTCTTTCATGCAGGAGGAGCCACATGTCTATGGTGCATCCAACAAAATAAGCAGACTCTTGGATGTCACTACCGCACGGCTCCGGCTGTGTTACAAGTATCTTTGGCAGGTTAAATCACCACCACCAGATGTAGACCAAACGAAATGTAAACTTTGCCTGATGGACTATTGTCACACCCTGCGTCATTATGTACTGGAGTGCGATAAAATTAATGAATTTAGAAACAACTCATTCAGAAGTGTTCAAGAAATGGCAAAGTATTTTATCCACAGTGGTATCTTACAGACCATTCTGGAGAAATACCCTGACTTTGCTAGCTGTAAATAAAGCATCACCACATGTGTGCGTGTACTCACCTAGTTCTCACCTAGTTGTACTCACCTAGTTGAGGTTGCGGGGGTCGAGTCCGAGCTCCTGGCCCCGCCTCTTCACTGATCGCTACTAGGTCACTCTCCCTGAGCCGTGAGCTTTATCATACCTCTGCTTAAAGCTATGTATGGATCCTGCCTCCACTACATCGCTTCCCAAACTATTCCACTTACTGACTACTCTGTGGCTGAAGAAATACTTCCTAACATCCCTGTGATTCATCTGTGTCTTCAGCTTCCAACTGTGTCCCCTTGTTACTGTGTCCAATCTCTGGAACATCCTGTCTTTGTCCACCTTGTCAATTCCTCTCAGTATTTTGTATGTCGTTATCATGTCCCCCCTATCTCTCCTGTCCTCCAGTGTCGTCAGGTTGATTTCCCTTAACCTCTCCTCGTAGGACATACCTCTTAGCTCTGGGACTAGTCTTGTTGCAAACCTTTGCACTTTCTCTAGTTTCTTTACGGGGCTTGGCTAGGTGTGGGTTCCAAACTGGTGCCACATACTCCAATATGGGCCTAACGTATACGGTGTACAGGGTCCTGAACGATTCCTTATTAAGATGTCGGAATGCTGTTCTGAGGTTTGCTAGGCGCCCATATGCTGCAGCAGTTATTTGGTTGATGTGCGCTTCAGGAGATGTGCCTGGTTTAACTCACCCCAAGATCTTTTTCCTTGAGTGAGGTTTGTAGTCTCTGACCCCCTAGACTGTACTCCGTCTGCGGCCTTCTTTGCCCTTCCCCAATCTTCATGGCTTTGCACTTGGTGGGATTGAACTCCAGGAGCCAATTACTGGACCAGGTCTGCAGCCTGTCCAGATCCCTTTGTAGTTCTGCCTGGTCTTCGATCGAGTGTATTCTTCTCATCAACTTCACGTCATCTGCAAACAGGGACACCTCAGAGTCTATTCCTTCCGTCATGTCGTTCACAAATACCAGAAACAGCACTGTTCCTAGGACTGACCCCTGCGGGACCCCGCTGGTCACAGGTGCCCACTCTGACACCTCGCCACGTACCATGACTCGCTGCTGTCTTCCTGACAAGTATTCCCTGATCCATTGTAGTGCCTTCCCTGTTATCCCTGCTTGGTCCTCCAGTTTTTGCACCAATCTCTTGTGTGGAACTGTGTCAAACGCCTTCTTGCAGTCCAAGAAAATGCAATCCACCCACCCCTCTCTCTCTTGTCTTACTGCTGTCACCATGTCATAGAACTCCAGTAGGTTTGTGACACAGGATTTCCCGTCCCTGAAACCATGCTGGCTGCTGTTGATGAGATCATTCCTTTCTAGGTGTTCCACCACTCTTCTCCTGATAATCTTCTCCATGATTTTGCATACTATACATGTCAGTGACACTGGTCTGTAGTTTAATGCTTCATGTCTGTCTCCTTTTTAAAGATTGGGACTACATTTGCTGTCTTCCATGCCTCAGGCAATCTCCCTGTTTCGATAGATGTATTGAATATTGTTGTTAGGGTACACATAGCGCCTCTGCTCCCTCTCTCATACCCATGGGGGGATGTTATCTGGCCCCATTGCCTTTGAGGTATCTAGCTCACTCAGAAGCCTCTTCACTTCTTCCTCGTTGTGTGCACTGTGTCCAGCACTTGGTGGTGTGCCCCACCTCTCCGTCTTTCTGGAGTCCCTTCTGTCTCCTCTGTGAACACTTCTTTGAATCTCTTGTTGAGTTCTTCACATACTTCA